CAGGAGCCCTTGTCGTCGTTGCTGGGCCCCCGCCAACTTGATCAGATTGCGAACAAGTCTCGAGCGAGAGCGCTGTTTCTGAGTTCGGGGGCCTCTCTGGCCAGAGTGTCTCGGGGTAAATCGTGAGGAAGTATCGAGCGGGAGCCGTTGTCGTCGTAGCTGGGCCTCCAAGGGCCCACGAGGGGGAGCCTCGTTCTCAGCGAAAATGCAGCCGGTGTCGAGGCGAGAGCGCCCGGAACGGTTCCCGGAGATCAGCAATAATTATTCTCTGGAAATGAATATTCGACGAGGACGACGACGACGAGGACAGCTTGCGACGACGACTACAGTCAACCCGAATAGCAAGGATGGGCAACCTTCCCAGGGGTACCCTCGCATCCTTGCCTCCTCCGTCCATCCTTTGCCGCTTTCGCTGGCCGCGCCCCGCTCGAAAAGCTTCGAAATGGGCGTCCAAGGCCCTTGCATCCTTATCGGGCATCCTTACTATACTGGTTGACTGTACGAGAACGACGACGACGACGACGACGACGACGACGACGGCGACGGCGGCGGCGGCGGCGGCGGTGGCGAAGGCGGCGGCGGCGACGAAGGTGGCGGCACCGATTGCGCCGACGGCGGCGACGGCGAAGAGGATGAGGACTTTTGGACCTACTGGCGTCGGACACGGAATCACGGTTGGATCTCTTTGACAGGGGAGGCCGCCTCGTTTCCCTCGTTTTCCTCTTCCTCCTCTTCCTCCTCCTCCTCCTCCTCTTGTTCCTCCTCCTCCTCCCCCACATCCTCGTCCTCGTTCTCTTCCTCCTCCTTCTCCTCCTCCTCCTCCTCCTCCTCCTCCTCCTCCTCCTCCTCCTCCTCCTCCTCCTCCCCCCCCTTGCCATCGACGGCATCAAGTCGCAAATCCCGCCGCCCCAGCCGCAGAAACCTGCCGACCTCAACGAGGTCTACAGCCGCGCGCAGGCTACGGAGCGCCGCTGCAAGAATAACCTCGAGAGGCTGCTGGAGAGCGAGCAGAAGGCGCTCAACTGGTACACTGAGCGCAAGCAGGCGTCGGAGGAAGCCGCCTACAAGTTGGCTGAAGCACAAGCGGAGGCCCAGGCGGCGCTCGACGCCCTCCAAGCCGCCCGCAAAAGGCGGCACAGCCACTCCTATGCAGACGCAGCAGACCCCGACCTTCAACCTCACCAGCCTCCTGGAGGACGGCGACATCTCCATCGAAGCGGGTGCGGCGTTCGACCTCCAAGGCCTCGACGTCGACGACAACGACGGCCTCGACGTCGACGACAACGACCGCCAGGCCTGGGAGTCCCTGCGGCAGCGCTTCGCCACGGAGCTCAAGGCCAAGGTCACCGAGCTCTTCGGCAACACTGCCAGCCACATCAGCCAGCTCCGAGCAGAGGCCAGCACCATGCGCACGCGCTTCGCCTCCAAGCGGCAGCGCGCCGACGAGGACGGGCACGCCAGAGCGGGCGGTGGAGCACCGCCTGCCGCCGCGGCCGCAGCAGGCGAGCCCCCAGCGGCAGCCGCAGCTGATGCTGAAGGCGCGGCGCCCTCACCGCCGACGGCGCCAAGCGACGGGCCTCCTGCGCCAACTGCTGGCGCTGCTTCTGACGGTGGCTACGTCACCCAGCCTGTGCCTTCACTCAACAAGGACCCCGACATCCAAGACAAGGCTCAGAAGATGCTCGGCCAGATGCGCAAGCCCACCGCGGCCGCCGCCGCTGGGCCGCAGCAGCCTCTTTAGCCGACTACAACACAACCCTGGACGGAATGGTGAGACGGGACGGCCACCGTCAGAGACCACGCCCTACGACAACCCAGCGATCATCAACACAATGGACGCAGTCCTCGACCCGTTCGACGAGCTGGCCGAGTTGGACGCCCACTTTGATTGCGCCGAGTCCGAGCAGTATGCTACCGCCCCGCCCGGGACGCTGTCCTCGGTAGGGGGCGATGAGACGGCCCAGACCGTCGACCACCCTGTGGTGTTGGGTCCAGGACAGCCTCTGCGTGCTGCTCGGACTGACCCTGATGCCGCTCCGCCCGAGACGCGGTCCTCGGTAGGGAGTGATGAGACGGCGCAAGCAGTCGACGTTCCTGCGGTGTTGGAACCAGGGGAGCCTCCGCAAAAGGCAAACCCTGATGCCGCTCCGCCCAAGACGCAGTCCTTGGTAGGGGGTGATGAGATGGCGAAAGCTGTCAACAGTCCTGTCGTGTTGGGGCCAGGGAAGCCCAGCAGCAGTGTGAGAGCTGATCCTACACCTGCCAACCAAGAGAAAGGCCCCACGAAGTTCCCGCAGTCTGGCCACTCCCTGTTTTTCTCCAACATCACACAATGGGGACCACAGTCTGAGAAATGGTTGGCAGGCCCAGGCAAGCAATATCAGATGGTAGCCTTAGTCGAAACACACATCTCGCCTGAAAAAGCGCCGCTCATCTACGACAAGATTGCAGCGGACGGTTGGAGAATCTCATCGACTACGGCCACCCCTACCATAAGATCAGACGACGGCAACACGGGTGGCGAGATCATCTTATCCAGGTACCATGTCCAGGCCACCTCGTTCAACCATCTCCGAGATCTTGCCATTTCTCAGCGCAGGCCAGACCCCTTCCTCGGCTTCACGCCCATGGTATGGCACAGACGCTCTGGCAATTTGGTTGTTATTGCTGCATATCTGGAACCCCACAGGCAGATCGAGGGAGCAGTGCACGACAAGCTGCTCTCGCTGGGCGCCTTCGTTATTCTGGCGGATTGGAATATGACACCGAGCAGCTTGCAGCGACAGAGTGGCTGGCCAAATGGAATGCTACCATCGCGCGAGCACCTGGATCCGCCACCTGCGACAAGGGCCAGGGGCTCACGCTAGACTTCGCACTGGTCAAGACGGGCATCGAGCACACCATTTCCATCCGCCAGTGCCCCACTGTACCGTGGGCCACCCACGTTGGCCTCGAAGTTCGAGCAGGCAGTGCAGATCCCTGGTGGTATCAGTCTATCGATACGCCCAAGGCCTCCCCCACAGTGGACAGGCCCAGGATGCCACCAGACCCCAACAGCAAGACCGCCATCAAGAAACGTAAAGCAGCTGAAGCTCGAGCAGCTCGTCTTCGTGATCTACCTCCTGAACTTCAACAAGCAGCAGCGCAACTGCAGCCACAGGTCGAGCCCGCAGCGCCGAATCCGATCTCCTACGCCATCCCGCTGGACTTGTGGCAAAAGCAATGGCAGGAGGCGTCCCCCACACGTTGCAAGCAGCCGCACGCGCACTTCGTGTACCGACACTGGGCGCACGACGCCGACCTCCTCAACCTCAAGTACGCCAACTGGGTCACGGCCCTCGAGAACACCATGATCAGCCACCACCAGATCGACCCGAAGGAAGCCGCAGCATACACTGGCCGTGCTCAGGGCTACCAGCTATCTTGGAAGAAGACAGCGGCTGCTCCAGGCCGCGTGCACGCACGTGATCCACATTCGGAATGGTGGGCCATTACGCTCACCCTCATCAAGCGCTACGCCGCGCTCATCGACAAGCCTAAGCACGCAGCGCTTATGGAGCAGCAGGCCACCGTCATCCAGCAGCGCGCCGACCATTTCAACAGCCACATGCATGATCTCCAGTTCGAGAAGGATGAGGACACAATCTTCCGCTGGTTCGCGCTCGTCTGGGCCCCGCACCTGGACAAGGATGAGACCGACGACCTGGTCACTATTACCGCTACCTGGGCCTCCAGAGCCCTCTCGGCCGCCCTCGCCAAGTCCAAGAGGGCCTACGGGGCTTGGCTCGCCCAACAATGGAAGCACCGTCCTGGAGTTCTACACGCCCATGTTAAGCCTGCACCTGTACGTCACATCGAGGCCTACACGGCCAACCTGACCACCGCCGACCCCACCGTCATCATGAACAACAAGAAGCAACAATGGCAGCAAGTCTGGCATGCCACCGAGACCTCCGACGACATCCTCCAGGCCCTGACTAAGGCCAAGGCAGCAGCTGTTGTTCAACCTCCCGAGCCCATCAGAACCGAGCAAGTACACCGCATTCACGGCCGCATGCCACCTAGTAAAGCACATGGAGTTGATGCCCTCGGACCTCGCGACCTCCATCGATTGCCAGAACCTGCCGTCGAAGCCTACGCAGATGTTCTCAATTCAGTGGAGCAAGCTGGCATCTGGCCTTTACAAATTTCAGGCACCATTGCAGCTCTCGCCGCCAAGAAAGCGGGAGGCGACAGAGTCCTTGGCATGCTTCCACACATGGCCCGACTCTGGTCTCGTATTAGATCTACCGCGTCGGAAGCCTGGTCGCAAGGACTTGACGACTTTTGGACTACAGCCATCAAAGGCTCTTCAGCTCTCCAAGCCGCCCTACATAGGGCCTTGTTAGACGAGACAGCCTCAGCACTCGGCATTCAGTCCGCGACTTTGCTATTAGACATCCAGAAATTCTACGACAATACCAAGCTCGCCAACCTGATCATGGCGGGCCTCAACTGCGGCTTCCCTGCCATCATTCTATTATTGGAAGTACAGCTCTACCTGGCGCCCAGGTTCTTGCGCAGTCGTCAATGGGTGAGCATGCCTATCTTCGCCTCCAAGGGCATCATTGCAGGCTCCCCCCACGGCACCACCCTGGCACGACTTATTTTGTTACCTATTCTTCGACATGCTCAAGCCCAGGCAGAGCTAGCCCAGATGTGGACCTTCGTGGACGACTACTACGAGTTGAAGGTGTCCTACGAGCGTTGCAGAAGCACCTCCCCCGTGCTGCCAGGGTGCTCTGCGACGGCTTGAAGGAGTTCGAGTTGCCTATCTCAGACAAGACCGCCCTCATCGGCTCCACACCCAAGGTCCGCCACTTGCTTGCCAAGAAGATGCGACAGTACGACATTCCAGTTACTGCGACGTCCACGGCCGTTGACCTAGGCGTGGACGCCGCTGCTGCTACCCGACGAGTACAAGCCAAAGCCAGGAAGCGTCAGAAGTCGGCCACCGCCAGGCTTCGCAAAATACATCGATTACGGAGCACTGCTCAGCAGGCCCGTATTTCCGCTGGCTTGTGGCGCACTGGCGCTCTTCCTGAAGGAGTCTTCGGACATCAGGTCCATGGCCTCGCTCGGCGCGCTCTCCTCCGCTGGCGTCGACAGGCCGCCATAGCTGCGACGGGCGCTGCCGCGGGACGCTGCCTCGCCTCCCTCCTCGGCGCCACCTTTGACGGCACGGACCCTGGCGTCTCCCTGAGGATAGAGTTCCTCGAGGCCTGGCTTCAGCATTGGATGCGCCACCCGAACACGCACGCCAGGATCATCAGAGCCTGGCCAAGGATCAAGACCACCCTGCTCGCCGCTGGCCCCAAGCTGTGGCGCAAGGTGAAGGGCCCCACAGGCGCGGCCATCGCGACCCTGCTAGAAGCCAGCTGGGAGCCGACCTCCGCTACGACGTGGAGGCGCACGAAGGACGGCTACATCGAGGAGTGGAACCTTCCTCTCGCCGACGACCCTGACCTCCTCGACGCCGACATCCACACAGTATTGCAAGACCTCAGCGAAGATCTACACCGACTTCTCTGGAGGCAGGCCGCTACACACATCCATGGAGACACGCTTGCAGGAGGCGCAGACATGGCCACTATCCGCATCGAGCAAAAGAGGTTCCTCGCGAATGGCGACTTCAGCGATTGGGCCCTCAACAATACCATCACCAGCGGAGGACAGTGGACCAGAGACCGCCTCCACAACGCAGGCTACCAGATCGACAGAAACTGTGACCGCTGCAGCGCTCGCGCCCCTGAAACCCTGTTTCGCCGCATGTGGCAGTGCGATGCGAATGTTGGGCCCGAGTTCGAGGTCAGCGACAAGCTACTGCCGCGAGCTCTAGCGGGGGCTGATGCCGACCCCGCCTTGTGGCTCCGTGGCCTTCCCTCTTCTGCTCTCACTACGCCCTCTTTCGAGCCATTGACTGGGAGGGACGGGTGGGGGTTTTCTGGTGTGGGTCGGGAGGGTTTGCCGACGTGGGAAGGTGCTCGTAATGGCGAGGGTGAGTGGTATCTCTTTGGCGACGGGTCTGGCGGAGCCTATTCCGACGACGTTAGGAGACGTCGCGTCGGCTCAGGCCTTGCTGCTCTTCGTTGGGATCCTCCCTCGGCCTCCTGGACCCTCCACTCGGGCCTCCAAGCTCCCCTCCCAGGCTCCCGCCAGACCGTCCCAAGAGGAGAATTGTATGCGTTCTGCCTGGCACTAGAGACTTACCTTCCGGATTTCACCTATGTCACCGACCACCTAGCCTTGCAGCGGGGTTGGCAGAATGGTAGATGTCTCAGGCCAGGTAGCCTCAAAGGTAAGAATAAGAATGGAGATCTCTGGCTGAGAATACGGCATCTCGTGCAGGATCGACCGCGTGGTGCTGACTCGGTCACGGTGCTCTGGACCCCGTCCCACGCCGATCCTCAGACCCTGCACGGCTTTCAGAAATTCCTAGCTCTCGGTAACCAGCAAGCCGACGAGCTTGCGGGTGATGCGGCCCGCAAGTCGGCCACCCAAGCCCTCCCGCCCGTGCCCAGGACTGATGAATATGATGCTATCGCTGCGGTAGTCCGCCAGCGTGCACGCCTAATTCTTCGCTCTTTTGGAAAGAATGCAGAGCCACGAGGATTGTGGCCAGAGAGGCAACCCACACAAGAGGCTGCTCCCCGTTCCCAGTTGCAGACCGCGCTCGCGGATCCTCAGCACAAATTCGTTCGGTGTGTAGATAAATGGCGATGCTCTTCTTGTCACATTATCGTCGACGCTTGCCAGATAATTCCAGCTGCCGCATCGGAGTGTGTACCGCCTAGCCCCCTTCCTGAGTTTGCTGCGTGTGGTGAGGTCCTCTTGACGAGGGGCCCCCGTGTGATCAGCGGCAAGGCGATACACCCCTCCCACTTGTTGGCCGCCGTCCCCAAGTGGCAAATGTTCTTCTGTGTCAAGTGCGGCCATACGGCCACGCACCAGGTCAAAAACCTACAGTACCCCTGCCCGCTCAGCCACCAAGTGGGCGAGCGCAGGGCCCTGGGACCCACTGGTAAAGGCCTCGAGAACCTCAGCAGGATCCGACGAGGCCTCCACCCGTCCAGATCGGGTCCCAGCAAGTCTGTTGTAGCCGCAATGCATGAATCAGCAGCCGAAGCTGCGATAGCGTCTCTGGCGGCTCCCAGCGGTGCTCTCTGAGTAAATTGTGAGGCCAGGGGAGGGCCTGTCGCGAGGTGCCGTGGGATGTCGCCACCCACGCCACCCCGAGAAATTCTGGATGGCCCTCCCTGGCGTCTTTTGTTTCCCCGTACGGACTACGTCCGATTGATCCACTCCACTCCTCCTCCCCCTCCTCCGGGGTCACCAGAGATCGGCTTACGACGATACAAGGCCGAGTCAATGGGGCCCCAAGTCGTGTAATTCGTCCCACCCCGACCTTCCTCCTACGGTCGCCTCCCTCAGGTGTTCAATCTGCATACTACTCTCAACTCTCCCCCAGAGTTACGTGCTGGCAAGTTCCCGCCCTTTCCCTGTACGTAATCGAAGACGCCTACGGCGAAACACCGCCGCCCCCTGCCTTTTTGGAAGCGCCTGCGTGGCCGAACGTTGGGCTTGAGCTTGGCCAAGCTATCGGGCCACGCGGTCCCCGAGTGGGTTTCGAAAGCCTTCGGGGAACACGGAGTCGGGCGAGCTATCGGACCAGGTGGTTTCCGAGCTTTCGGGCCTCCTGGAGGACGTCTTGGAGGGGTCTTGGGCCGTCTTGGAGGCCTCTGGCGGGTCTTTTGGGCAGCCTAAGGCCATCTTGGGTGCATCGTGGGACCATCTTCGCCGCCTTGGAGGCCTTCTCGGCGGTCTTGGAGGCATCTTGGAGGCCATCTTGGCCGTCTTGGAGGCCATCTTGGGCGTCTTGGGGGCCTTTTGGGCCGTCTTGGGGTCTGGTTGGGGCCTTCTTGGGGGCCTCTTGGCCTGTCATGGGGCCATCTTGGAGGCCTCTTAGGCGCTCTTGGGGCGATGTTTGGGGCCTCTTGGGCTGCAGTTATTGGGCCGTCGGAGAGCTGAAGAGAAGAACATGCCAAACTCCATCAAACACATGTGGAAATGGGCCTTCCTGGTGGAGCTCTTGGAGGCATCTTGGGCTGTCTTGGTGGCATCTTGGGCGCCTCTTGGGCCACCTTCGGCTCTCTTGGGGATATTTCTGCCGTCTTGGAGGCCATCTCGGCCGTCTTGGAGGTCATCTTGGCCGTCTTGAGGCATCTTGGAGGCCATCTTGGGCGTCTTGGAGGCCTCTTGGGCCGTCTTGGGACCCTCTTGGGGCTGGCTTGGGAGCATCTTGGACCGTTCTGGAGCCATCTTGGAGGCATCTGGGAGATTTTGGGCGCTCCTTGGGCCGTCTTGGGCGGTCGGAACACCAACACGGAGGAAAAGTCCAAATCTTTCAAACACCTGAGGACAATCAATGATTTTGGTTCCCTCGGGCCTTCCTGGAGAACCTCATGGATTCCTCAGGGGCCATCTGGGAAGCCTCTCGGGCCCATCTTGGGCCATCTCGGCCGTCTTAGCGGCCATCTTGGCCGTCTTGGAGGTCATCTTGGCCGTTTTAGGGGGCATCTTGGAGGTTATCTTGCCCGTCTTGGAGGCCATCTTGGGCGTCTTGGAGGCCTCTTGGGCAGTCATAGGGCCATCGTGGAGGCCTCTTGGGCGCTCTGGGGCCGATCGTTCGGGCTTCTTGCGCCGTCGTCAGCCGTTGGACGGCTGGAACATAGCAAACGCCAACATCCTTCAAAAACCAAAGGAACAGAATTAGTGTTGGCCTCTTCGGGCCCTCGTGAAGGACCTGTTGGAGGCCTCTTGGGCCGTCTTGGAGACCTCTTGGAGGCCATTGGGGCCGTCTTGGTCCGTCTTAGAGGTTTCTTGTGCGAACTTGGAGACATCTTGGACTCTCTTGGACCGTCTTGGAGGCCATCTTGGGCCATCTTGGGCGAACTTGGAGGCCATCTTGGAGGCCATCTTGGAGCCGTCTGGAACAGGAAAAACCTTTGCAACCGCCTCTGGAAGAGTTTTTCGGGCGGCCGGCGGGACGGGCCGAAGCCCCAGTGAGTTTTCTAAAAGAACCAAAACCGAAAGGATTCAGCACGCCAGGCACCCTTGTGACGAATCAACAGGGGGCGGCGGATCAAATGGCCTTCGGCCCATCCCGCCAACGTGCCTGGATTGTGGGCCATGGGCGTCTAGGATGTTCGTTGGGATGTCGCGAGAGGCCTCTCTCGCTCTCGCTCTCTCTCTCTCTCTCTCTCTCTCTCTCTCTCTCTGGAGAGCCTCGTGGATGCAGCTGTTGTGCCTCTTGGACGGCGTTTGGGGCCTCGTGGTGCGGATTGGGGGCCCCTTGGGCGCCTCTTGGGGCCGCCTGGGGGCCTTGAGACGGAAGACTCGGATTTTCGGTTCGCGTTCCCCCCCGTGGGCCTTTCTTGGGACCATCTTGGCGCTATCTTGGGTCGTTTGGGGCGCCTCTCGGGCCGTCTTGGTGCCCTCTGGGGGCCCTCTTGAGGGCTTCTTGGGCCGTCTTGGGGCGGCCTTGGGGGCCGCTTCGGCCGTATTGGAGCGTCGGAAGCTCGAAACGTCGAGAACCCCACAAACAGTGAACAACCGAAGGAAATCAATGATTTAGCCTCCTGGGGCCCTCTTTTGGGAAGGCTTTCGGAGCCCTCTTGGGGCGTCTCGAGGGCTTCTTGGGCCGTCTTGAGGTCATCTTGGGCGTCCTGGACCGATCGTTCGGCGATTCGGGATACTCTTGGATCGACCGGGCGGCCTCCAGGGGCACTCTCGGTCCGTCTGGGAGCCCTCTCGGCCCCGGAAGAGTCATGCGACGAGACGCGGGCGAGCAAATTGGGAGCACGCGACAAGCCCCAAGAGGTTCATGAGCCGGGATCCGGGCTCTGTAAAGAATCCTCAGGGTTGAGGACTGAGGTTCAGGGGTTGAGCAAGGGACCTGGGGACGGATATCCACTTCGTGGTTGAGGACTGAGGTTCAGGGGGTGAGGACTGAGGGTTCAGGGGTTCCACTTCGTGCCACAGGGGCACGGTGGCGGACATTCAAAACGAATGTGTGTGTGTGTGTGTGTCTGTGTGTCTGTGTGTCTGTGTGTGTGTGTGTGTGTGTGTGTGTGTGTGTGTGTGTGTGTGTGTGTGTGTGTGTGTGTGTGTGTGTGTGTGTGTGTGTGTGTGTGTGTGTGTGTTTTCCGTCTGTGCTTCCAAATGGTGTTCCCGCTGCAACGTGCGCCTCATTTCAACATGGTGTTCCCGCTGCAGCGCGCGTCTCAACTTAGCCTTGGCGTTCTGCTATCGTCTTCTCGTCTTTCAGAATGGCGCGCCTTCTGGAGCCGAGTCCTTCCTCATCGTTGCCCCCCCGGTCATTTCCCCTCTTCCGGCGTCTCCTGGTTCTTCTGCTCCTCCCGCTTCTCCCCCTGCTCCTACTGCTGCTGCTGCTGCTGCTGCTGCTGCTGCTGCTGCTTCTCCTCGTCCTCCTCGTGCCCCATTCTCCTCCTTCATCCTCCTCCTCCTCTTCCCACTGCCCATGCTTCAGCTCGTTCGCCACCGCCTTTCCCCCTCCAAGGCAGGCAGCTCCCAATATTTGATTGCGCATCACACGATGGTGACCTTTTGGGGGTTCCAGGCTCGCTATAACACTTGTCGGCGGATCGAGACCTGGTCGGATGGCAGATCTGGCGCGAGCGCACCTAGCTTGCACCCCGGTCCCCTCCTCTTCCTCCCCCTCCCGTTCCCTCGTTCTCCCTCCCACAGTCCTTCTGCACTTCTCCTCCTCCCCTTCCTCCTCCCCCGCCGTTACCCTCACTCCCCCTCCTAGTTCTCTCC